GGTTGAGATTCTGCAAAAATTGCTAAAATTGGTTTCAGTGTTCGATTAATAAGTTCAGTTAAGTTGGTTTGAGGATGATAATTAGTCGTAAATTCTTTTTGAATACCCAGAGTCTCGGAGAAATTTCGAAAGAGACTGGATATGAATTGAGGACCATTGCCCGATAATACGTAAGCTAGTATACCGTATCGAGCGATTACTTCGCTAATAAGAATTTGAGCAATGTTGATCGATCTTGTTATATGCACTGGAAATAGTTCCACCCAGAGAGTAAAATAATCTACGACGACGAGTAAAAATCGTTTTTGTCGTGATATTATTGGAAAGGGGCCCATTATGTCAATGCCAATAGTATGCCATGGTTCGCTTACCATGTGTAATTGCATCGGATTGTCATTGGAGCGTTGTTATATTTAAGATTTGTTTATAGTAGTTCATTGGTTTATACATAGCTTGAAACAAAGGCCAGTGACAATCCGAGGGTCCAAAATGCAAATAATGAGTCAGGAATTCCGTTGTATGGTTAAGTTACTGCGTAAATTAATAGTGATTCGAGATTGCGCAGTATTTCAATTGTTTTAGCATATAGTAAGAATTTTTCAAGAAATTCTCTGGAACATACAGTCGATATGGTGTGTATGACTTCTAAATTGGAAGCATATAGTTGATTATTAAGTATGCCGAATGAGTTCACCAAATTATGTGTGGTTGTCATTCGCAATAGTATTGAGCAAACATATAAGAACTCTTGGACAAGCCAGGTGCTTATGAATCGTAATAAAGGAGTGCAGGGACGATTATGTGGCGATAATCTTATTTCCAACTGTGAAGCGGGTACTAAATCGTGTAATCTCGATTTCTGACTCGGTTCAAGTCGATTGTACGGTAGTTCCGGCCTGCGTTGCGCCTTGGTTCTTTCTAATAATTGTAAACCTATTTGTTGTTGCACGTTCACCAAAGGTGTAGCAGACAAAGATTGTATTGACTTCGAAGCATTCTGAGAATTTTTTTCTGTAGATTTAAATTGTTCACATAGTTTCTTGACGTACTGGAACGGCAGGTCATTCACTTCATCGACTTGACATACTGTTTCATCAAGTAAACTGCCTGTATGAAAATTCGATAATTTCTCAACAGTTATACTTTCTGATTGAAGTTCAATATGCCTATGTTGAGTCATTAAAGTTAGATCTGAAAAGATGCTGCTTGTAAAAGCTTCTCGCTGTGGCTTGACTTCGTAAATGTGCCACGATTCAGTTCCAACGGGCCAACATGCATTTGCGACGCCTCCTTATTTGCTTGAGTTTTCAGCCTTTCTTAACAGGCAACCGATTTGCTGTTGATTTTCTTCGAGTATCGTCGATACTTTTACGTCGAATTCGTCAGCTTCCGCTTGAATCCCGGCGATTAGACTTAATAAATCTTTAAAACTTAAAAACGATTTGAGCTTCTCTCCATTGTGATGCATATTAATTCTATTAATTTCTTTGATTCGACACTGCAAATCTGTGACTTTTTTCGTAGTGTCCACCCATATTTCTCGGAGGAAATGAAGAGTTTTTTTCCACTGTAACTTTTTTGGCTACGAATTTTGTCGCTGCCATAGTCGTTAATGTATCAATTTACTGACTTTGAAATATTGATCAGAGTTGCAGTTGTTGACACTTCTTATTCGTTCATCCTGTCAGAGTCGCCAATTGTCACGAAAAATTAAGAAGAGTGGGGGGATACCAAAGGACATCCAACGTCCTATGTAAACGTTATTAGTATCTTCACGTTGGGATAATGTGCTTCTTAGCATCGTACAATGTGATATCGACTGACGTAATCCGAAGAAGTCAAGTGCTCTATTGGCACATATATGATGATAGTGTCAGGATTTTCTACTATACTAGATCTCAGCTTAAGGATATGGGGCCAAGATGGAACTTATCGAGGATGACGTTAAACCTAAATGATGAGCTTTTATCGAAAATAAATGCGAAAACTTCGGATTTAAATCCGAGAGTTATGTGTACTTCAAAAAGTGAATCGTACAAATCAATCATCTTAGACTGTCAGAACATCAGAATTATCCTGTGAAATCTACCATTTAAAATGTTGATTTATATTGTGCATTGCCAAACCAATAGGACATGGGACCTAATACAGCTCAACTTTCAACTCTGCACCTTGATTTACCCTAGCAAAGTCGTTTTTCCTATAACTTCATTTTTATTGGTCACTGCACAACTAATAGTATTTTGATGGAAGTGCAGTACATATCCGAGTTCTCCATGTCTGAAAATCTCGAAGTATCATCAGTGTGACCGGAAGATAAAGCTCTACTTGTGGATCAATTAGATCGTTGACCAAAATACACACTAAAATAAAATGTATCGCATATATGTGTCGTAGAAGAATGTGTCGCAGATTCCATAATACAAATGTGTCGTACAAAAATGTGTCGCATTATACATGTGTCATAGCCTATATATCAATCGTTCATTCACCGTTTTGTTTCGCGAATGCACCTGCATACCACCGAGCCTATTGAGAACACTTGAATTTACATTTTCATAAATCTTCTTTTTCTAGATTATTTCTCGAGCATTTAGTATTCGAGAACATATCGAGAGGTCGCTAGATGATCGAGAACCCAGGTCCAAAAATCCGACGACGGATCCGAAAACCGACAGAAATCCGATCGGAATCCGGGTTATCGAATTCCGATCGGATCCGACCGTTGGATATTCATACGTATCCGGTAATTTCCGATTGTCGAAATCCCATTTATTCCGACGGTCCGATTCCGATTGGATTCCTCTAGGATTCTATCAATCTTTGAATCTGTGGTGGATCTTATTTATAATGATAATGTTTGGAATCTAAATTAAGCTTAACGAAAGCCAAAAAGGCAATCTAGATAGCAATATTTCGGTTTTCGATATAAGATGTTTTGACCCTATAGGATCCTATCGGATTTTGAAAACTATCTCCATAGCATGAAAAAGCGTTTCAACACTGTTATACTCAGACCTCGCAATATCAAAACTTTGGATCCTATCGGATCCTGTCGGATTTTGAAAATTAACTTTTACAAGAGCCAAAACACAAATCTAGACAGCTATATTCAGGTTTAACGATATAAAAACTTTCGATCCTATAGGATCCTGTCGGATTTTGAAAATTAACTTTTACAAGAGCCAAAAAACATATCTAGAGAGCTATATTCAGGTTAAACGGTATAAAAACTTTCGATCCTATCGGATCCGGTCGGATTTTGAAAATTAACTTTTACAAGAGCCAAAAAACATATCTAGAGAACTATATTCAGGTTTAACGATATAAAAACTTTCGATCCTATCGGATCCTGTCGGATTTTGAAAATTAACTTTTACAAGAGCCAAAAAACATATCTAGAGAGCTATATTCAGGTTTAACGATATAAAAACTTTCGATCCTATCGGATCCTGTCGGATTTTGAAAATTGACTTCCCCTGTAGACGTTAAGGAGTAGCTAGACAGCTATATTTAGATGTGGCGTACCAGAATTTTCGATCGTATAGTATCGAATCGGATTTCAATAATTGACTTATGGATAGCTCCAAAGGCCTTATCTTGACAGTTATAGTTCAGAGTGAGAATAGTTGCGTGTTCGGTGGTATTGAATCGTAATTGATTTTGAAATTTGACTTTCGCAGAGGAGGAAGGGTCTCACGTAGACTGTGATAGTTAGGATTGATGATAGTAGAGTTTTCAGTGCTATGCTGTCCTATCGAGTTTTGAGAAATGACTGACGCAGCGGACGAAAGGCATGATTTTCGCCATTACAGTTCGAGCGGACGATAGTAGAATTTTCTCTCGTATAGGATCGTAACGGATTTTGTGGATCGAGTTTTGCAGGGGAGGAAAGGCCGTGTGAACCCATCTGTTCTGGGCAGTCGCAATAATACAATTTTTCAGTCTATAGGATCATTTGGTCTTGGGAAAATTCATTTTTCCCGAGGAGCAAATGCTCTAGGAACGGAGGTGTAATGAACTTTTGTGTTAGTGAGATTCTCTATCCGTTAAGATGCTATGGGATTTTCGAAAAGTCACTTGGTGCAGAGAGCGAAAAATAGTTTGAGGGTATCAGTATAGGGTGGTGATATTCAGTTAGGTTTATTTTCCTGTAGGATTCCATGGGTGTTTGTAAGTTCACCTCTCGAGAGGAGGTAAATTGATAGGTACATATTGTTAAACAGGTTTGTCATTGGTATACGTTTGCATTGCCGCAGTTTTCTATAGGAATTTAAAATGCGCTTGGTAGTGGCACGCTAGATGATGTGTGCGTATAGGTAAACATGGGTGGTATCGATGAAAGTTTTTTCGCACATACTCCAATGTGCTCTCGGAAATTGATTTCTGGAGAGGACGAAAATCCCCCGGATTTATCACGGAGGAGGGATTGTGTATTTGTAAATTTTTTACCTATTGGATGCTCTCGGAGTTTAAAAATGCCATGCTGTAGAGGATCAAATTGAAAGGTATATATCCGTAAAGAAGGGTGGCATCGGTTAAAGTTTCTTTGTTCCTGGATTCTATCGGATTTGGTAGGTTTACTTATGGAGATGGCCAAAATAGATCGATATATGTGAGTAAACCAAGGTGACACTAAAAGAAGTTTCTGTCGTATATGATCCTATTGGATGTTGAAAAATTTTCTCGTAGTAGACGTCAAAATCAGTAGATTGAGATAAGGGTTTAAGGTATGGATTGGTGAAATATTAGTGCTTTGGATTCTGAACGGATTCCTAAAATTGATTTTTGTATTTTGTACATAGGCATACCTGTGCCTTCCTATTTTTGGTTAGTATTGATGTAAATTTTCGTATTTTGAAAACAAGTCAGATGTTGAGAATTGGGTTCTCAAAGTTGCCAGGAGGAATTCTCACAGATTTTGCCGGGGTTTCACATCAGTGCAAGGTTTTACCGTGCATAGTGCGGTAGAGTCGTTGATATTGTAGTTCTCGAATTAGCTGAGAGCTTTCCTCTGCGTATCTCAAGTTGAGCTGATTGTTGATCAACCCTTTTATTGTCTTGGATCAGATGGCTTTTTGATTGTAGACTTACGGAGGTGGTCAAAACTGTTTACATATATGTATCGCAATTAAAGCTCCGCGGGTTTTTCTTCGTCTTCCGTTTCGAATCCGAATGGATTCCAAAATTGAGTGTTAGAATGTGGCATAAGTGTGTGACTACAGATCAGGGCTGGAGTTCATCGTTGGTTCAATATTATGTCCTCTAGGATACGATGGGATTGGGAAAAGTGGCTCCTTCGAAATGGGTAAAAATGGATAGCTAGATTTGTGGATTGCAACTCATTCTTTGTGTAATTTCCGATCTTGTCGAATGTGATGGGATTTGTAGAGTTGACTTCTGAAAATCGCGACGATCGGTTTTGGTTATATCTGAGTTGGATATTATTTCTTATAAGTTTTTAGTCTCATGAATTCGATAGGGTTTCGAAAATTGTGTTTCGGGAATGGAAAAAGGTGTATACGGGCACAAGGCGTTCGGTCGTCTCGTTGGTATAGTTTTTATTGTATCGCACCTTACGGGGTATTTGAAAATTGTGCTACGGAAATGTCCCAAAGTGTATGGCTGTAGATGTTCCTTGGAGGTCATCATTGGGAGTATGTTATAAGTTTTAAGGTTTTATCGGATTCTGAAAATGTGCGTGTGGAAATCTGTTTTAATGATGGTATACGTGAAATAGAGCGTGTTTTTTTCTTTCGTTGATTTGTGTAGGTCAGTGTGATTATTTGATTGAAGAGTGATTTTCCGTATAAAACACGTGTATTTATGGCATTCCTGAAAGTGTGTCATTAGGCAGTAATGTCGAACTATTCTTGCTAGCTTTAGAAGAAATACTGTAGCTGAAGTTTGTTGTTCTCTGGATGATAACTTAGGGGAAAATGTTGTTTGATTCAGGTTCCGAAGTGGTTTTCAAATAGTTACTATTTTTTCAGTTAATTTCAAATAGTAGGACTTAT